GTTCCATGTGCGACGGATTAAGCCTTAATCCGCGCCTTTTAATCCAAGTGGAAACACCCCCTTATGATCATAGAATTATTGACGGCAAGGATGCAGTAATTTTTTTAGATTAGAAATGCTATTGGAAACCCACTGAAGAGTGAGAGTAAGTGAGCGCAAGTAAAAGAAGGGCAGGAACACGGCCGTGTTTCTGTCTTTTTTTCCTTGCTCTCCTTTCTGAGGGCTACGGCTAGAACCCCCGTGCGTGGGTGCGTGCGTTCGTGTGGTTCGCGAGTCCAATGTCCAACGGAAAATTCGGGCTTTTTTGGATGACGGACACATAATTAACACAACGATGACATTTTCGCCGGTTCAAATCCCACGCGAGTAATCTCGTTTTCGGCTTAAAGTAAGATTCAGATTTTGTGACAAGTCGCCTGTTCAAGCAAGTAAAAGACACATATGTGAGAGAAGAAAGTGAGAGCAAGTAAAAGATATTCCCGAAGAACGTGAGAGCAAATAACAGAAAGGCAGAAACATGTCCTCGAAGTCCTCGAACGTAAGAGTCAGTGCTTCTCTCTTTCTTCTTGCTCTCCTTTCTGCCTGAGGGCTGAGGGATAGAGGCGGCAGGGGATAGAGGCGGCAGGGAAGGAGGCGGTAGAAGAGGAGCAGGCAGGGGATGGAGGCGGCAGGGGCAGAGGCGGTAAGGGATAGAGGTGGCAGGGGATAAGGTGGCAGGGCAAAGAGGCAGCAGGGGAGAAGGCGGCAGGGGAGGAGGTGTCAGAGGCAGAGGCGGCAAGGGAGAAGGCGGCAGGGGATGATACGGATAAAGGCAGCAGGGGATAGAGGCGGCGGGGGAGAAGGCGGCAGGGGATAGAGGCGGAGGGGGAGAAGATGGCAGGGGATAGAGGTGGCAGGGTAAAAGGCGGAAGGGTAGAAGGCGGAAGGGGAAGAGACAGCAGGGGATGACACGGCAGGGGATAGATGCGGAGGGGGAGAAGGTGGCAGGGGATAGAGGCGGAGGGGGAGAAGGTGGCAGGGGATAGAGGCAGCAGGGGATAGAGGCAGCAGGGGATAGAGGCAGCAGGGGATAGAGGCAGCAGGGGATAGAGGCGGCGGGGAAGGAAGCGGCAGGGGATAGAGGCGGCA